CTCCCTCCCCATCTTTGTTTTGTCTCATGTTTACTCTATCAATTCTGTTTTAAAATTGATTTTAGCATTTTAGAAAATAAGGACTTTTTATTATTAATTTTAAATTAGATTTGACTTTAATAAATGATTTTTAATTTTAATTGTGTGTGTGTGTGTGTATGTGTGAGGGCCATTGTGTGCATGCAGAGGTTGGAGGATGACTTAAGGGAGTCAGTTCTCTCCTTCTACCATGTGCGTCCTGGGGACTGAAGAAGTTGGGCTGCAGGGGCCTTCATCCACTGAGCCACTTTGACAGCTCAGTGCAGTACATTCCTGTACTCTTGCTCCCACCCTGCCTTGTTTCCTTCCCATCCTGTCAATCCCTCCTCCTTCTCATAAATCCCTTTCCCAACATGCATTTCTTTTTGTTTTGTTTTGTGACCCAGAGTGTATGTTGAATCGTTGACTACTGATAGATGCTGAAAGATGGTAAGCCATTGTCCTCCAGGCACCAATGTGGTCACAAGACAGCCCTGGTCAAACTCAATGGGCTGCAAAACAAAACAAGTAGTGTCTTTTAATCCTGCAGTTCTCTCTCTCTCTCTCTCTCTCTCTCTCTCTCTCTCTCCCTCTCTTTCTCTCAGCATCCATGTGTATGTGTGTGGAGGCCAGAGATCAATGTCAAGTGTCTCCCTTTACTATCTCCACCTTAGTTCTTTAAAAAAAATATTTTATTTATTATTTTTATTTTATGTGTATAAGTGTATTGTCTGCATGTATGTAAGTGTACCCATGTTGTGCAGTATCCCAGGAGGTCAGAAGACAGCATCCTGGAACTGGAGTTATGGACGGTTGTTAGCCGCCTTGTGGGTGTTGGGAACAAAACCTGGGTCCTCTGTAAGAACAACCAGTGCTCTTAACTGCTGAGCCATCTCTCCAGCCCTAACACTTCAGCTTTTGAGACAGGGTCTGTTACTGAACCTTACAGATCAGCAAGCCTGAGGGATCCTGCCTCTGTCTTCTCTCAACCCTGGGATTACAGGCACATGTTGTCACACCTGGCTTTTTATGTTGGTATTGGTGATCCAAAATCACAATGACACATACACACCATGGTACATGTGCGCATGAGTTCATACACATGTACCATGGTGTGCATGTGGAGATCAGAGGATAATTTGGTGAGTTGGCTCTCTCCTTCCATCACACGAAGGTCCTGGAGATTGACCTTAGGTGGTCAGGCTTGGCAGTAAGTGCCCTTTCTCATCTCACTGACCTACCGACCAGAAATTTTAAGATAATCTAATAGAAAATCTTCTTGACTGTACTTGTGTACCTTTTTTGAGGATGGGATTTTGTGTATTGCTATTGAATAGGGTACCATTATTTAACCAATTGTTGTTCTAAGTTACTCCAAACTGAACAGACACAGTTCTATATCTGGTGGGATATGATTGCATCTAAATAGTCTCAAATTCCTGGGCTATAATTATATCATCAATTTAGAAATACCATTTGAAATCAGAGAGATGTCAAAGAAGTTCAGTAGTGCTGACTTCTGTCATCGCTCCTACATGCATCCTTAATTCTCCTTAAACTGAGCGCAACTATGGAGAGCGATGATCTTTGCTGTCCCCCACTGCCTTTGGTTTCTGGTTCTTGGTGATGGCAGGTCAGACTGTTTGTGAAATTATTCATCATTTCTGTAGCATGGTATGGGACTGGGAATGCAGTTCAGATCAGCAGATTTGGGTTCTAATTAAATGAGCATGAACAATCATTTCTCCATTCTGAGGCTCAGGTTCCCCACTGGTAAAATGAGGAAAGCATGGATGAGGTTGTCATTAAGACCCTGACGTCCTTCTTGTTCCAAGGTTTCCTTTTCCCTTGACCATCTTGACATTTGGGATCTACGTGGGAAGGTGGGAAGGAAGAATCAGATGCAAAATGAAAAGTGATCTGGGTTTTGATTTGCAGCTGTAGCTGAGCTGCTTGAGATGTCGGGGGCCTCTCTCTCTGAGTTCTACTTTGTCTTCTGTTGTGTGGAGAGTGAGGAGCCCCCTCCTTCCCCTGGCCAATGTATGTCTCTCGAGGAACATGATTGGACATCAAATAAGGCTCATCTTAACAAATCAGAAGTGGTGTTTTACACATGGGCAGTTCATGTGGCTTATGCCTCTTGGGTGATTGTTCTTAAATCACAGCCTGTTATGAATCATCAAGTTCAAACAAGCTCAGCATCTCTACACTGTTTCAAGCACAATTATTTTCTAGCTCCAATTATTGCATAAAATTCTGATTGTTAAAGCCAAAGTTGACATGCTTTATAATCGAGTGCATAAATGGAGTATGGTGGGAGTTCTCTACGTAATGAGCATCTTGACTCTGCATATTCGAAAATTCAGTTTACTACAAGTTCAGTGTGGTCATGACTCCAAGAACAGATGTGCTATACAGGAGGCACATCTGTGTGACCTTAGGAGGGTCCTGAGAGCTCTTCGGTTCACTCAGCATCCTCTCCATGGTCTTGATCTTACATGGCTTCTTGGATGCACTTGGCAGTTCTCACATTACTTCCTGTGTGTGTGTGTGTGTGTGTGTGTGTGTGTGTGTGTGTGCATACATGTGGAAGCCAGAAGCTATGTTGGGTATTGTAAAGCCAAACTCTCTCCTGGGAGGCCCGTGAGTCCTCTTGGCTAAAACTGACATAATACATTCTATTCGGGTTTTTGTGTAAAGTTTATGATGTCCAGAAGAGGGTTACTTACAAGAGCATGCAGCTGTGGGCTTTTTCCCTATGTCTTGTCTGGGCTTTTCAGATTCACCGCGCCAGCACCCCGCCAAGATGGTGACTTCCCGCTGCCTCCCCTGCTTCCTCGGTGTCTGTCCTTAGGCCCTCCCCTCTTGCAATTGAAGCTGACCGATTGGGTGGGAGGGGGTCTCCCCCTCTGTCTATGGAGTCTCTTAGGGCTCAGTGCTAGTTCTTTTGGAGGACATGCCTATCTAACATGTGTCTTCCTCAGTTGCCCTCCACTTCACTTTTTGAGACAGGTTCTTTCATTGAACTTGGAGCTCACTGATTGGCTATACTAGCTGGCCAGCAAGCTCCTGGAATCTATTTCTCTCTGCCTCCCCAGCTTTGGCATGTACAGGTACATGCCACTGTGCCTCATTGTTTGGATGGATGCTGGGGATCTGAACTCAGGTCCTCAGGTGTGTGAGGCACGCACTTTGCTGACAGCCATCTCCCCAGCACACACGGTTTCCTCCCTGTTACTCTGTAATGCTCTAAACTCACTCCCTTAATTATGGTTCACGATTTTTCCATTTCTCTGGGATTACCAGAGCTTGACCCTCAGCTCCTGTTACTCTTCTGTCTGTATTCTTTCCCTCTGCCCATTTCTATAGCTCTCACACCTGTACTACAGTTTTATCTACAACAATCACCTCTTTCATAAACTCTCTGCTGTGACTCCTTTACCTCCTTTTTACTGCTTGTCTGGACTGTTATAAGAATCCCCTCGCTGGTCTCTTCTCTGTCTCTAGCCTTTCCTTTCTATTTTAAAACTGGTAAATGTTTGATGAAACAGTTCCTCAGAAACTTTTGTCTTACCACATTCTGGTTCCAAGACTTACATGGGTGCTGTTGCCACCAGAGAAGTCCAAGCACCTTAACTCTGCCACTGAGAAGTACTCTCATATGACCATGGCCTCTCTAGACTGCTTTATTTTCTATCACTTCCCTTCATAGCTACCTAGACTTACTTGAGTGCCTCTACCATTTTGGGCTTTCCTGCTCTGTTACTTTGTATACAGAAGATCCCACTTGAGGTTCTCTCTCTCTCTCTCTCTCTCTCTCTCTCTCTCTCTCTCTTCTTTTGGACAGGGCTTTTTTGTAGCCCCAGCTGGCTTGGAACTCACTATGCAGACCAGGCTGGACTTGTTTCTGCCTCCCAAGTGTTGGGATTAAAGGCGTGTGCCACCACATCCAGTGTGCCCTGTTTATTTCTTAGATGTCTCCCTATCCCAGCAAAGATCCATGTCTGTGAGCTTCCAGTCCTGGTGATGCTTGCTTATCCCAGTATGTAAACCACTCATGTGTCACTTACCATTTCCTGCCTCAGATTATTTCTTATTTATCACTTCATTTGTTTGATCCACATTCACTCAATAGTGGCCATCTTTAAAAAAAAACTTTAAAATATTTATTATTTTGATTTTATATGTATGTGTAAGTGCACCCACATCATGCAATGCCCATGGAGGTCAGTAGAGGGTGTCCCTGGAACTGGAGTTATGAATAGTTGTTGGCTGTTGCCTGGGTGCTGGGAACTGAACCCGGGTCTTCTGCAAGAGCAGCTGGTGCTCTTAAGTGCTGAGCTATCCCTCTAGCTCCCAATAGTGTTCCTCTTACAGTAACCGGAAGCAAAGATGAATTTGTTCCTGTCTTTGCTTTCAGAGTATCAAATGAGAGAAATAAAGACAATGTCATGCTCAAGGTAAAATGAGAGTTCAGAGAGAAGGAAAGTCCTACCCGAGAAAGTTAGGCAAGTGGGCCACTTATACATTAGTGTGGAATGACGGAAAGAATAAAAACTTGTGCTGGACTCCTACCCATATAACAACATCTTCTACCCTCTAGACCTTGGTTTTACACCAGTGAAATGGGAATGGTATTATTTACCATGAAGAGTGTGTTTTCACATTTGTGAAAAGTGCCAACGTTACCTGGGGCCCGTGCAGGTTTTCAACAAGAATACATTCTCTCTGACCATGGCATTCACCCATCTTCTACTCTGCACAGTGTCTGGTATATTGCCGTGAACAAACCACTGTCCTGGTGACTACACATTCTTTGGTTGATGGATAGATCAAGAAAGAAGATTGTTTTGACACCTATTCCTCCTTTTGAGAACTGTGAATTTGACATTTTGAAATTGGACGTAGCAAATGCTGCCCAGACAAGAGTTCTGCTTTTCTATTTCATCAACCAGAGACAGAGGCTCACCAAGGTGTCAGGGTGTCCCTTGACCTGCCACACCCCACTAAAGAAGGCCAGACCTTTCATGAGTCCTGCTCTTTGAAGTCACACCACGAAGCTCTTACCTCATGATGTACAGATGGCACAGGAGACCTGACTGAGGGAGAAGCCCAAGTAAAGTCTTTTATGAGGTGAGGGACTCTTCTGAGGAAACACATAACAAACAGAAGGGAATGGCTTTAACAATCACCAAATGAGCAAAGCCAAAAGAAAAAAAAGGGGGGGCCTGCCTTACATGCCCACACCCTCTTTGGAATAGGTATAAATGCTCATGTGGAGACCTACAACTTAGAAGCTTGGAGAGCTTGCACTGTGTCTCCAACCAGGCACCTCACACCCTTCAGCACCATGCCATACACCTGCTCTCTGCCCACCCTGAGCTGCCGCACCAGCTGCTCCTCCCGGCCCTGCGTGCCCCCCAGCTGCCATGGCTGCACCCTGCCCGGAGCCTGCAACATCCCCGCCAACGTGGGCAACTGTAACTGGTTCTGCGAGGGCTCCTTCAATGGCAACGAGAAGGAGACCATGCAGTTCCTGAACGACCGTCTGGCCAGCTACCTGGAGAAGGTGCGGCAGCTGGAGAGGGAGAATGCAGAGCTGGAACAGCGCATCCTGGAGCGGAGTCAGCAGCAGGATCCCTTGGTGTGTCCCGCCTACCAGGCCTACTTCCGGACCATTGAGGAGCTGCAGCAGAAGGTGAGGGGATGGGCACTGCAGCGCCCCCCGTAGGAAGCTATGAGGGGAGCGTCTGAGATACAATTCATATATGAGCTCCTGGTTGATGTCTTTATTTCATTTTATTTCTTGAGGACCCATTTACTTTCAGACTTGAAACTGTTAGTTTTGAAAAGTTAGTCTCGGGGAGGTAATGGGACTTTCTTAAATAAACTGTTTATTAAGGGCTGCTTCTGGGTGCTTCTGAACTCAGAAAGTATTACCCTGACATGAAAGAAAAGAACTGAGCCCACAAAGGAAGCCAGGAGGAAGAAAGGCACATTTTTCTCTCTCCCTTAACTGGGTGTCTAGGTCCTCTGAGGCCTGGTTGCTCTCCTGTTCTGTTCACCTGGTTACCCCAAGCCCGTTGTGTTGACCTGGAAGCCTCTGGGCTTCCTGTGGTGCACAGTATCCAGTGGGGAAATGGGAGTATTTGGCTAAACCCAGAAAGTTTGGAAACTCAATAGAAATGGTACCAAGCCACCCAGGATGGCTAGGAGAATGGAGCTGCTTCCCTGACCCAGGCCTCTGCACCTGCTGTTTACAAATGTACTTTACCTATTTGATTTGAGTTTCCTGAGGATGGAGTATGTTGTAGCTCTTAGAACCAGGCCAACCTGATAGTCACTTTTAATAAATGAATGATTGCCTTCTGCTTCTCATTACTGCTTATTAAGAAAGGGAAAAAGTCAGATCACGTATGCATACTTCCTTTGCATATTCAGGTGTTCTCTTTTTGAATTTATTCCTCAGATATTCTTTGAGTACCTGTTGTACATGGATGACATTGAATAGACGTACATAAGACACACTGAGATTTCATAGCCTGATGCTTCCATAGAAATATGTTAGTAGGGATTGCTGCTGGGGAAAAGAACCGAGCCTTGCTCACTGTACAATGTTTTGGGATTTCTAGATCTTGTGTCACAAATCTGAGAACGCTAGGTTGGTGGTCCAGATTGACAATGCCAAGCTGGCCTCTGATGACTTCAGGACCAAGTGAGTGGGGGACCAGTGGGGCATTATTTCCTCTTGTCTTTCCCTCCCTTCTCTCCTTCCTCTTGGCCTACTGCTCACTGATAAACACCAGGATTTTCCCTACATAGTTCTTCAAGGAGCCTGTTAGCTCTCAGAGATCCTTCCTCCAGGCTTCACACTCTTTCCCCTTCCCCTCCTCTCCTCTGCAGAGAACTGTGTGTCTGTGTGGACAGCATGGCCGTCTGATGTCCTACTACGCACAGAATTCAATGATGAGAATGTGGGGGGTGTATTCATCCTGCAAGCTTTGCAGCTCTCATCTTGCTAAATGCATTGGCTCTTTGTGAAAATAATAACTAGTGAATTTTCCGTCAGGATCTACTGCTGGGTCTTTTAGATTTAAATGGAAGGAGATGGTTATAAAAAGTAGCAACCCTAATTTTAGTCATTTAACAAACCAAACCAAACCAGACCAGACCAGACCAGACCAGACCAAACCAAACCAAACCAAACCAAACCAAACCAAACCAAACCAAACCAAACCAAACGAGTCAATGCCAGGTGTGTTCCTGCCCAGTCTGCCCCTGATTCTCCTGTGATACAGGTATGAGACAGAGCTGTCCCTGAGGCAGCTGGTGGAGTCGGACATCAATGGCCTGCGCAGGATCCTGGATGAGCTGACTCTGTGCAAGTCTGACCTGGAGGCTCAGGTGGAGTCCCTGAAGGAGGAGCTGTTGTACCTCAAGCAGAACCATGAGCAGGTGAAGTTCCCCAAAGCTAAGCATGACTGGACTTGCCAGGGCGTGTTTCTAACCTCCATAGGCTGAGGGAGAGGCTGTGGGTTGAGGCTCAATTAGCCCAGGAAGCTGTTCTTCAAACAAAAAGGAATTTGTAGAGAATGAGTAATGTAAAAAATCGTGATAGGAGATTAGGATTTGCTGCCAGAGGCAGAAACAGGAATAGAGGAAGTTGGTTGGCGCAGTAATGAGGGAAGGTCAGAAACACGGCAGCTGCTGCAGATCCTTCACTCCCAGGTTAGAACATATTGCCTCTACTGTGGATCTCAATCATACAGGTTTCTAAGTAGAGAGGGCAGATGGGCTTAGGGCCTCTTAGCATGAGGGCCGAGCTGGACTCAAAACAACTCATTCCCATCCAAAACTCTAGTATTCAATGTTGCTTGGAAGAAACGTGGACAAAAGTGTTCCCTGGTTGCTGTGCGCCATCAGCACAGAGGCGGCAGGTGTTTGAAAGCCTTAGATTCCAGAACGGTGCATTTGTGGCAGTTAACATTAACCAAGAGCTTATTATGCACCTCAGAAATTATGCTAAGCTCTTCAGAGCCCCAGAGGCAGTTTTTGTTTTAAGATAAGCAGTTTGAGGATTCCAGAAGCTTCTAGAAGTTATATAGTGAGTGGTAAAGCAGAGACACATTTGAAGTCTGTTAGATGCCCACCTAAACCTGGTAACAAGCTCTGCTGGCTCTATGAAGGGATTGATAGTGAATGAACAGGTATTTACTTCCTTCAGCAAAGTCTACACATCACAAGTCAAGGCTCTTTGACCCTGGAATGGCAGATTTTGAAGCAAGTATTCTTTATTTTTTTTGTAGTTAGACTTTGTCTTTTTATTATTCAAGCTTAGGAATCAAACTTAAAGATGCCATGAGATATTCTGGTAAAAACCTTGAATTGGGCTTTTAGGGATCAGAATTAAAATTGCTGTTAACTATGTCTCAGCTCTGAGGTCAAATTATTCCACCTCTCCAATGAGAAGTGACATGTTGAGTCTGAGGGCCAGAAGGAGGTCACAGACTTGAAGGGGCTTTGGGAAATGAATCAGTCACTGGCCAAAGGGGAAAGGTTGGTGGGCAAGAAGGGGGTGGAAATGTGTTCAACAAGAAGCATAAGGAGTTGAACTGCATTCTCTCAGGGAAGGCATCAAGATTCTTTGTGATATTTCTGAATTTTCCTCTTCCCCCATCAGGAAGTCAACACCCTGCGCTGCCAGCTTGGAGACCGTCTCAACGTGGAGGTGGACGCCGCTCCCACCGTGGACCTGAACCGTGTGCTCAATGAGACCAGGTGTCAGTATGAGGCCCTGGTGGAAACCAACCGCCGGGAAGTGGAGGAATGGTTCACCACACAGGTGGGCAACTCAGCACATGGTCACTCGGGATCTGAGTCTCCAGGACCCCAAGGCAGAGTCTGACTCTGTCTCCTCTCTTTGCCTACTGCAGACAGAGGAGCTGAACAAGCAGGTGGTGTCCAGTTCAGAGCAGCTGCAGTCCTACCAGGCAGAGATCATCGAGCTGAGACGCACAGTCAACGCCCTGGAGATCGAGCTGCAGGCCCAGCACAACCTGGTGTGTGGTGTTCAGACCACTGCTCACAGTGTGGCATTGGGGAGGCAGCATTGGGGAGGCCGCGTCACTGTGGTGCTCTTGGGGCCACTCCCTCTCTTTAGCTCTTGAAGCCTGTGACTTTGGAAGCCCATGGCGGAACCGTCAGAGGGAGTATCTCTCTGACATCCTTTGTCTTCCCCATCACAGAGAAACTCTCTGGAAAACACACTGACAGAGAGCGAGGCCCGCTACAGCTCCCAGCTGTCCCAGGTGCAGTGCCTGATCACCAACGTGGAGTCCCAGCTGGGTGAGATCCGGGCTGATCTGGAGCGTCAGAACCAGGAGTACCAGGTGCTGCTGGACATCCGGTCACGGCTGGAGTGTGAGATCAACACATACAGGGGCCTGCTGGAGAGCGAGGACTGCAAGTGAGTATGGGGGTGGATGACTTTTTTCTTGGGCATATGAGGATGCTTTGGGGGTGAGTAGTTTTCTTGACAAAGATGAAACTAGCACTTCAAGTCTTTGCTTAGGGACAGTTGAAGGAAAGATGTTGGTCTGATACTAAATGTTTTCAGCATCTTCCTATGTCTTTAGCTCATTTTACTCTAACTTGCTCCAATGATCTCCTGTCTCCAGGCTGCCTTGCAATCCCTGTGCCACAACCAATGCATGTGATAAGCCCATTGGGCCCTGTGTGTCCAACCCCTGTGTCACAAGATCTCGCTGCGGGCCTTGCAACACTTTTGTGCGCTAGAGACACCACTGCCAGAAGGGGGACAAGGACACCAGCAACATCTCAACTCCACCTCATCCCAAGATCTCACTGACTGACTGCACTGGACAAAGGCAGCACCAGCTTCCTGGGCTTCGCTACAGCCTTCCACTCCATTCCATGACTTGATTCTTGAGTACAGGAGATGCAAAGTCCTTCTCTGAGCCACACAGAGGGACCTACAGTGGGATTAAGTACTATCTATTATCACAATACCCCGTTTGCATGCCACGTTATGCCTTCATAAATCTTATGTGAATGTGACTTGAAAATAGTTTTATTAAGTATGGTGGAGCCAGTTGGCATGCTTGTGAACCTAGTGGAAGTAATCTTTCGTGTTACACCTTTTGCCTTTGTAGATACAATGCAAACCCTTTGTCCTCCTAATAAAACTATTATCTGGCATAAGAACTGCAATTTTCTGCTTCATTCATCAACTCCACAATTGGCTCTCTTGTATCAATAAAAATTAACCAGTGTTTTCCCATTAGATAAAAGGACCAAATCTATGGTCCCCAATATATTGCTGTGGTTTCCTTCAATGGAAAAAGTTTCCACCAGATGCCACCTGCTGACCTGGCTCAGCGCTAAGAGAACAAAGGAAGGAGGTGGAAGTGGCTACAGGCCCGGGTAGTGGTAGTGCTCGTGGCCAAGGCTGCATTCACTAGGAAGAGGCTGCTCATGCTGAGACCTGAAAATGGAGGAGGAACAACCAGGGAATGAGCATTACAGAGGCAGCAGTAAGTCAAGAGTGGGAGCAAAGTGGCACCTTGGAGAGTGAGGGGGCCAGTGTGTCTGCAGCAATGAGGGAGGGGCAGTGGCCAGAGTTGGCAGCGGCTGTGGAGTTGGTGGCAGGACTCATTGGTTCTGGGGAGGGACTGATTTTATTTCTTGTGTGTGTATGCGTGTGTGATGTATGTGTGTTTATGTGTTCACATGTGTGTGTGCACGCATGCATATGTGCATATGAATGTGGAAGCCAGAGGTTGACACTGAATGTATCCTCTGTCACTGTCTACCTTAGTTCTGAGACAGGGTCTCTCTTTGAATCTGGTGCTCACCAATTGGCTAGACTAGCTGGCCAGTAAGTCCCAAAGACCCTCCTGTTTTGACACCCCCACTCAGTGCTGGGGTTACAGGCATACACCATTGCATCTGGCTTTCTAAGTGGGTGCTGGGGAATCTAACTTGTGCCTGTGCAGCAAGCACTTTATTGACTGAGCTATCTCCCCAGCTCCATAGTTTGATTTCAAGTAAGAGAGAAACCTTAGGAAAGTTAAAAGGGGGGATTGAGTGGCACCTTCATTAAAAGGAGTGTTTTGATGGCTGAGTGGAAAACAGGTTCACAGATCACTCAGACTGAAAACTTTGGGGGTAGTGATGACAGCTCTAAGTCAAGTTGCTTTGTTTTGTTTTAAAGAAGAATCACTGACATTAAACATCTGCTTACATTCCCATCAGCAACAGGAGAGTCAGACAAGAGGTGCCAGAAATCACATCAGTTGCTCAAACTGTGAGATGATAGTTCATGATGTGGCATGTCTCTGGTCCTTGCGAAACCCACATGAACACTCTGACAGGGTCATGCAGCAGGCAGCTGGGTGAGGCTCTCCTGGCTGTTCTCTGAGCCTACTGCAGGTGTATAGGCAGAGGCACCAATCTCTCTCATTTTTACATGTAAGGACAAAGCATTTGTGTGAAATGTAAAGACTAGGGAGATTTATAGCATACTTAACAGACGTGTTTAAGACATTCAAATGTACTTAGCAATAGTTGGGACATGACAGCGTGCAGACACAAATAGCCTCACGTGGCAGCCCTGTCAGGGTTGGTGGTAGCTCTGATGTACTCAGAGCTTGGGGTGTGACACATTGGAATGTGTATTTTTGAAAACTTAAAAGTGGCTAAAGGTTGAAAAGGATATAAGTCAAACTCCTCTAAATTTTGAGTTTGAAAATGATTGAGTTAGTTTCAGTCTTTAATTTTGTCTTGATTCTCAGTGTGCTACATGGCCTTTCTGAGCCTCTCTCTCTCTCTCTCTCTCTCGTATGAAAGTTTTACTTGCATGTATGTAAATGTGCTTGTATGTGCAATGCCCATGGAGACCAGAAGTGGGCATTGGATGCCTCTGGAACTGGAGTTATGGACGGTTGTTAGCTGCCATGTGGGTGCTGGGAACCAAACCTGGGTCCTTTGCAAGAGCAACAAGTGCTCTTAACCACTGAATCATCTCTCCAACCCCTGAGCTTCCATTTCTTAAGTTGTGAAAAAAAAAAAAGAATAACAACCATCTTAATATTTTAGTATTTAATTCTCCCCTCCTTCCCTCCCTCCTTCGCTCTCCCTCTCCCTCCATCCCTCCCTCCCCCTCCCCTCTCTCTCTGCATGTGGAAGCCAGAGGTTGGCATTAGGCATTGTCTTCAGTCACCTCTGCCTTGTGTTTGCAAACATGTCTCTCACTGAAACTGTGGCTCACTATTCTGCTAGGCTGTCTGTCCAGTGAGCCCAGGGATCTTCCTGTTGTTGCCTCCCCAGCACTGGGATCACAGGTGTGCATACAGCTTTTTATGTGGGTCCTGGGGACCCAAACTCAGGTCCTTATGCTTGCACAGCAAACCCGTTACTAACTGATCCATCTATCTCCCTAGCCCCTCACTGCTCAAATTAAAAAAAATGTGAATGGGTCGAGGACATCCTGGTGAAGGCTAACCCAATGCCAGGTGTATAGCAGATGCTTTGTAAATAAAGTTTGCATTTACTTCTTTGGAGGTCCTGGGGAAATTGTACTTCTGTGCTCTGATCCCCTTCCCTATCACTCAGGACACAGAACCCACAGCCTTGAGATTCAAAGATTTGGTAGCCACCCCTCTTTGATACCCAGGTGGGAACCCAGTCTCAATTTCCCATTAGCGGATGGCTGTAGGAAGGCTAAACAGGGCAACAAGTAGAGGGATCTGAGATCCAGGGTTGAGAATCTGAGGCAACTGCAGGCATATGTTCCCATACACAAAAGTACCCTTAGGTATGTGTGTGTTGTGTTAGGAGGAAGGTGTCTGTGATAGTACATGGGTGGCATTTCCATTGTTGGTAACATTCAGAGTTTTCCAATGGGAAGACAGAGGTATTTGTCTTCACAGATCTGTCAGTGTCAATGCCAAGGCGACTATTTCCACTCATGGGAGCTGTAGAAAGCAACGATTAAGTTTATCACTGAAGCTCTGGGTAAAATGCAACACATTGATATTTCACTTTTATAACAATTCCATATGTGTATTTCATGCTGACTTCATTGTTGGTTGAGTGGGGCTGGCTGCTCACTGGGGAAAAGCGTGAAAGAGGCGGGAGTGGAAAGATAGCACAGTGGCTAGAACACTTGCCACAGAAGCAAGAACCCATGTCAATGCTGAGTGGATATGGCAGTCCACCTATAATTCTAGTACTAAAAGGCGGAGATGGGGGGACCCTGGAGCAGCTGGCTATCCAGACTAGTCATATGTTGGCTGTAAGTTTAATTAAGAGACCCTGCAGCAAAAGAATGGAATGGAAAAGTGATCAAGGACGATTTGTGACATCAAACTTGGGCCACCACACACATGCACACACATGGATGTGCACCCCCCATATGTGCCCACATATATGTGAACACATACGTGCATATATATCATACACACAAATACACGAAAAGAAGGAAGAAAGTCAATTATGAGCATTTGGGACAGGGAAAGCAGGGATGGGTGTGGTCTTTGGTTAAAAAACTAGGTAGAGGTGCTGGAGAGATGGCTCAGCAGTTAAGAACACTGGTTGTTCTTGCAGAAGACCCGGGTTCAAATCCTAGCACCCACATGGCAGCTAACAACTGTCCATAACTCCAGTTCCAGGGGATTTGATGGCCTCTTCTGTCTTCCTTGGGCATTGCATGACACGTGTGCACTTACCTACATGCAGGCAATACCCTCCTACACAAAATAAGAATAATAAATAAAATATTTAAATAAAAGTACTAGGTAGAGGGGGCAGGGGGTTCCTTGAGAGGTGCTCCTGTGTGCTGTGTGGTAAGCAGTGGAACACTGTGACCCTCTGAGAAGGGTATATTCTGGGGGTGAGGGAGAGGACAAAGTGAAAGTCTTTAAAAATTTTTATTTTTATTTTATGTGTATGCACGTATTGCCTGCATGTAGGTAAGCGCACCCATGTTGTGCAATGCCTGTGGAGGTCAGAAGAGGCTGTCGGATCCCCTGGGACTGGAGTTACGGACAGTTGTTAGCTGCCATGTGGGTGCTGGGATTCGAATCCGGGTCTTCTGCAAGAACAGCCAGTGTTCTTAACCACTGAGCCATTGCTCCAGCCCCCAAAGTGAAAATTTTAAGCCTGCTCTTGAACATAACCCCTGGTCAATTGGGTCTAATCTCAAAGGCAGCGTATTTTGAATTGAAATGCAGAGGCACAAGGTGGACTGGCAGGATGGAAGAGATTCCCTGGTTGGGAGATGAGCTGAGGAAGGAGCCAGAATCTTGCAGGTAAGATGTTTGGTATTTGGATGTCAAGGAAAGGATTTTAGAAAAGTGAATGGGGCAAGGGATATAGCTCAGATGGGTAGAACGTTTTCCTAGCATTCATGAAGCATTAGGTTCAATCCCCAGCACTGGGCATGAGGGCTCACACCTGTAATCCCAGCACTCAGGAAGTGGAGGCAGGAGGATCACAAGTTCAAGATCATCTTTGGCTACGTAGAGAGAATTCGAAGATAGCCTGGGCTACATGAGACCCTATCTCAAAGAACAAAACAAAACAACAACAACAAAAATAACAAAAAAGAAACATGAACGTAAATGAGTTTGAGGTTCTGCTCTGAGGCTGGTGCTGAAAGAAAAGAAAAAAGGAAAAACCGAGGATGGAGATGGTGGGAGAGGAGGAGCCGAAGGTGAGACGGAGGATGGAGAGCAAGAGAAGGACAAGAAGGAAGTGCCGGGAGGAACAAGAGGGGCAAGTGGGGAGGAAGAAAAAGTCT